GACAAACTTTCTGCAACGCGTGGAAAAAGCAAGCTGAGGTCGTGTTTATATATACACACTACATTTGGGCGGAATATTTGTTCTTTTTGCATGTCCGTGCTGAGACGACACGTTTGTTGCATGGACGTAGGAGATCCAAGCCTGAAATATGACGACAACGGGTGGATCTTCTGCGCAACAGCTCAAGCGCTGGGTAAAGCTGCGCTGATGGCAGCTGATCCAGCTTTGCCAGCTGGCAAGGTGAAGATTATGTTCTGGGGTCCCTTAACTGCACAGAGTTCCATAGTCAAAGATCACTGATCTAGTAGTCCACAGTATCCGACTTCACAAACATGCCTTTACTACACTGGCATGAACTATTCTTCTAATCTGATCAGCTCACTCACTGTTTTTGTTTGTGTTTCTGTTTCCTTTTTTCTGGTTGTGGTTGTTGTGGTGGTTGTTGCCGTCGTCCATATCCTGACTTGGAGTCTCTGGGGCTTTGAGGCATTGTCGACCTGAAATACGACCATCACAAGCCTCTCTTTGAGAGGATCCAGGTGTTGGAGACTGGCCACCTGGCCTGACTTGGGATTTTCCGTGCTGATGAACAGGCTTCGGACCCACACCAATCTCAACGTACCGTTGATTTGTTCTGAGATGCAGAGATTTTGGGTAGATAGGAGTCTACAGAGTTTGCAGGAAGATAATCCAAGGTGATGGACGTATCTCCAGATTCTCAGGCAGTGTTGGGAGTCTGAACAACCAACGTTTGCCTGCTGCTTTGCGGTGTGTGCATCTTTCATCTGTTGGACCGATGGACCGATTGGTATGGTGACCTGCTTGTAGACTCCGAGCCAAAGATGGGAGACTCGTGTCTGTCCCTGTCGCGCAGGGGATGGAGCACCAATTCAGAAGCACTTTGAAGACCACTACCAGTTGCAGGAACAGGAAGCTGCTTTGCAGCCACTTGATCTGCACTTGTTTCTTCAACGAAGGAGGTCCGTGGAGCCAGGTTCTGCCGGTTTAATGGAGCTAAAAAGCCCAAGGACCTACAACTTCATCTCCAAGGACAAGAAGCTCACGTGCCACGGCGGGAGAAATCCTGTGCTTCGAGGATTGAATTGTGAGTTTGACCAAGGATGGTGAAGTACAAAAGACAGCAGAGTCAGAGTGTCAGAGTTGAGTAGTTGAGCGCACTGCATGGTGGATAACAAAAACAACCATGGTTGAATTGGATTCAGAATTTCTACCACCGGAACATAGACATAGACCACAGGGAACCGTTCGTGGGCGGGTGGGTGCGACAAAACCATTCTGAGACCACGTCAATAAGAGGTTCATTTCGTCTTTCGTCTTTCGTTTTTTGCGTTCCGCCTTTGGACTGCCAGGCATGATCTGTTTGATGCGACGGGATATGCCCACATCATCCCTCGCCAGGCCGGGCGGTGTAGAAACAGTGTAGCACCGGTTTCCATGTGAGCGAGAATCAATAAGACAAATATCTGGAGCTCTCATTGGTGAAACAGAGGTCGTCAAAAAACATGGACAGTCTTCAGTCTTCAAGCTTGGTCTTTGTCCTGTGAGGTGTGCTTCCCTAGAGTCTACTATCCTGGCATCGCCAGCCATATCGCTGCCGAGCTTGGTCTAAGAGCCTCAGCGACTTTGCGAGTTGATGCTAGTTGGATCCCAAGAAAGCGAGGATGGCGCTTGAGGAAATCGATAGCCCAGGATTGTTAGGAAATCGACACCTTCATATCGGTTCACCTTGAACCAAGTTGTCGAATTACTGTCCTAGTTCTATCCAGGACCAACCTGGTGTGTTTCTCAAAGACTTCACACGACGAAGACGTGACGGGTCCAGAGAAGTTTTGTGAAGTCTCGTTGGTATTTGGTCACACAGATCCACACATCAATCACTTCTGCCTTCCACCAGGAAGAGATGAGGACTTGGTGGTCTTGAAGCTTTGCAATCGTTCGCGTGCGGCAGGTGGGTGGGGCCAAGATCTTCAGCCATAGTAGCCATAGCCAGCCAAGCCCAAGTCCTGGTTTTCAACTGTGCCATTTGCTCATTGGCCCCAATACAGCTTCTCCTATTCGCCTTGGGCTTGCAGCGTGTCAAGAGAAACGTTTTGGAAGAGTCTGCTGCTTTAGCAAGCTATGATGAACAGTGGGATCAACGTCTCTTGGAAGGTCTCTGACCGCAGGAACATCAATCACCTGACCGCAAAGTCAGCACCAGTTGCCCCAAAAGCAAACAGAGCAATTAGCATAACGTCACAACGATCACCTGAGATTACGCACAAGGGCTTCCGCTCCTGACTAGTGACCACCTGTTTCGCATCGTTGGTATTTTCTTCGTAGTCAGGGAGGAAGGGCTTGAAAGTACCAAAGGGCGGGTTTGTTGATAGGTTCGAGATCCTGAGGACACGCAACCTGAGGTTCAAAATAAGACTCAGGTTAGGCTGAAAGCTAAGGGTACTTGTTTGGTATTCTTTCACGCCCCGACTTGTTCCATTTATATAATTGAACACGTCACCGTTCACGCATTTTCGGCACCACTCCGCTTGTTCTGAAAGAACCAACCTTTGAAGATGTTGCTCTGGGTCGGACCACGGGTTTTCGATGGCACTCTGAATAAGACATTGCTCCCGCTGGCTCCCGCGGAACACGCCGTTTAGGGGGTCCTCTTCTGTTTCCTTTCGTGACGTCGTGCACGACACATGTATGTAGTTTTAGTTAAGCGGGTTTTGGCTCTCAGACATCAAAGTTCCTAAGTTTGGTTTGGCATTGCATCGCTACTAGTAACAAGTGCATCGCTACTAGTAACCTTACTACTAGTAACAAGAAGCTATTAGAAACAATAAGCTACTAGTAACAAGTGCATCACAATCCTTAAGATGGAAGGCGTGCTCATTGTGACGGTGAAGGACATGGAAGCTGTCCTGGAAGACTCTCATTGTGCAAGAGCTTGGTTGTGTGCTCCTACGCTCAGAATCAACTGCTTTGGACGCATTGTCATGCCCAGTCATTCATCACATTGAAGGTAGCTCCTGGCAGAACTACTAGGAACATGAAGCTACTAGTAGCAAGGTGCATCGCTACTAGTAGCAAGAAGCTACTAGTAGCTCCTGGCATTACTACTAGGAAGGGGTCTCCGGAGACTTCTGACTTTCACTGGTAGCGTCGTGGGGAGAAGCCCAAAGACCTCGTCTTTTTGCCTCTGGTTGAACTTGTTTCAGCTGAGGAACTACTGGAGCCGCCGTCAGATCTGGAGAAGTGGTTCCAACCTCAACTGGAGCGTTTGGCCAAGACCCTTTGCAGAGATGTGCCACGGGATTCACATGAGGAGCACGTGAGGCGGGCATTGCGATTCGTCTTTTTGTGTTCGCTTGGCTTCTGCTTTTTTGACCATATTGAAGGCGTTGAAAGGTTTGAATTACATCAGCTTGCTTCGGAGTAGTTCACCTCTCCGAGAGGCATTGGTGGGCCAATGAAAGCCCTAGCTTTGTGGCAGATGCTAGGTGGAAAGATCAGAATACTTCAGAATAGGTTTCTTGAAACTGAAGATGACATCCAACACAAGTCTGATAAGTGCTGGCAGCACAGATTAAAATAAAAGTGATGAAACGTTTGGTACCGGCACAGTTCTTTTTTGTCCCTGCAATGCGTTAAACTTTAAACGTCTATCCAGGGAGTCTATCCATAGCGCCGAGATGTGGGGCCCAGCAAGAAGGGAGATCAACTGCCCGATGGGGAAGCTGCCCGATGGTTGACCGGTCTAGGGCGGCCGTGTTGGCTGAATGCCTTTGGGGCTAAGCATGGCTAAGCTGCTTAAACAATGCCTTAATCCCCGCATGCACTGTTGGACAGTCGAGGCATGCATATGGTGTGGTTTTGGGTTGAGAGGAACGAGGAACAGAGTTACTGCATCACCAAAGCATCCTTCTGTGTTGTGCGAAGAGTACTTGGGACAGTGTAGTGATTCTCCTAGAAGAGCAACCTCCTTGTAGACCGTGAACTGGAGGTTGCGAGCTAGGTGAATGATAACAAGAAGCTACTAGGTTGGAGGCTATTGCTATTAGGTTAGAGGCCATTGCTATTAGGTTGGAGGCCATCGCTACTAGTAGCTAGTATTACTAGTATCTTCCTCGAGTTCCTTTCTTCGCGTGCCCACCTAGGAGCGATGCTGCAGCTCGATGCCCACCACCCGTGAGGGCGCCCTCTACGACGGGACCATGCGGGTGACCTTCGCGCTGCGGCGAAGGTGTGGTGTCTCGTCGAGCGGAGCTCTGCGCCGAGGGGTGGACCGGGCCGCCAAATGTGGGGTCTCCCGAAATCGATGTGGTTCGAGATTCAAAGTATATATAGGTATATATGTCAAAGTGAACATCAGTAATTGAGATAGACAGTATATATATATATACATACAAACTCTAAACATTATACACCTCTTTACATCATTTTACATCCACTTTACTTTGTGTGCTCTCCCAGGCGCGTCCTGCTCGCCAGGTTGGGAGCCTCTGAGACGTTAACTCCCGAAGATATCGAAGTGGATTGGCTGGGAGGATACTGGAAGTTGCCCAACGCAGACATGATTCCTGGCCGCCACATGAAATCTTTTGGATGTTTTTTTGCACGTTCCTCGACTCGAGGATGTTTTCACCCGCGTTGCTGCTGTCTACTGATGTCTACTGCAGAAAACAACAACGAATACAGCTGTTCTCTGTCGATGTATTGGGCGACAAAGGTTCATGAAACGTTTGATTGATTGCTGATGCTTGTGTCCGTTCAATTGACCTGCCAAGGACCTCCAGTTTGATTCGAGAACGCATCATTAGTCAAGCTAAGACTGGTACAGCTCCAGTTCAGCCCTACATCCTCATGGAGGCGTGGAGTCTTTGCTCAATGGAATCTCTGTCCTCAGCCACGTTCCACAGTTGGCCAAATCTTGAGGTGGAGCCTGTCGCCAGCATGCCGCCCTAGAAAAAATCCATTGGTGAAGAAACGCCGAAAACTGTAAGCTGCGGTCGTCTCCGCTGATTTCCTATCCTCTCAGAGTGAAATTCATGGGGGTCCGTCTCCAAGAGGGATTCAATTGGCTATCGAGTCCGGGGCCTCTCATGGACTAGGGGCTCCTGGCCTTACTACTAGGAGCAAGGACGCTACGAACGGGGCTCCTGGCATCGCTACTAGGAGCAAGGACGCTACTAGGGGCTCCTGGCCTTACTGGGTAACAGAGTGAATTCAATTGGCTATCGAGTCCGGGGCCTCTCATGGGTGGTCCAAACCGTTTCTCTTTCCGCTTGGTAGCGATCCTGCGAGGTCTACGGGGCTCTCAGCTCGGCACTGCAGCAGCTGTTTGGTGCGGCAGAGTTCACATCGGAGCGGCTGAAAGAGCAGTACCGGAGCCAACCAGAGGCTTAGCTGAAGATGTTGAGTTGCATCTGGCAATAGAAGGAGTGATCAGTTGACCAGTAGATAGATAGATATTATGCATATCAGTAGTTTATCAGATGATGTGGTACCAGCGGTTGAATCTGGTGCTTTTGAGTCTAGTGTCGCAAAGTTTGTTCTCTGAAGTTTGGCTTTCTAGTTTGATTGATGCACAGTTTTTTTTCTTCAGCTCTACTCTTTGTTGCTTGCACTGGCACACTTTGTCTCGGGCACGTCCCAAGCTGGAAACAAATTATACAGGACAGTGATTTGTTTGCCTGCTTGCCCTGCTTTTCTGGTTCCTCTCCTTTCTTGAATTTGGAATTCATTTTTTCCTTGCCCTTCTAGGGTTTGTGGAACCAAAAGAGGGACCCAGATGAAGGGAATCGTGGATGATAGCTTGGGAGGAATCGGACTTGGATTGCATGGATTTTAGTGGATTATTGTTTCCTAGAAGCTTTTTGTTACTACTAGTAAGGCACTTGCTACTAGTAGCGATGCACTTGTTCCTAGTAGCTTATTGATGAGGTTGCTCGGGCTCACCATCACAAAAGTCTCTCTTGAGTTTTAGACACTTATTTGTGCATGCACCGGGCATACTTGAAGGCAGGATCCCAGGAATTTTAATCCAAGCATACTAAGACTTCCGACCAAACCGCAGGGGTCTTCAGATCAGTCGATTTCATTGCATGTTCAAGTATTCTAAAGCCAGGCAACGGCTCGAAATCAGTTATTTTAGAATGTTTTGGACGAGTCAACGACCTCTGAGTTCCCACCGTTGCTGGTGAATCCGCTGCAAACCAGCGTTTGCATTTAGTACAGGTCCATTCTTGCGTTCCTTCATTGTTGGTCTCCTACCCCAGGAGCTTGCAGCATACCTCATTGCTCGACGCGCCATATCATTGGAGCCGGAGCAGCGCCTTCAAGCATTGCGCTTGGGAGACCCAGTTGAGACGTTGACTTCAATCCATCACTAGGAACAAAGGGCATCGCTACTAGGAGCAAGGAAGCTGAACTGTGTTCTCCTTTCCATTGCTAGAAACCGACAAGGAGTAGGTACTTGGCATCAGCTTAGCACCTTTTTGAGGTGATGTGGAAAGGTCTGCTGCCGGATTTACTGCCACTTGGATTCGCCTAAACCATGCTGTCCGGTGGATGTCCGGTGGATATATCGCTGTTTACGCCATGTGTTGTTGGACATCGAGCAGCCGCAGCAACATGCGCACATCGATAGCATGAAGCGCACGTCCCTTGCGGTCTTCTGAAAACAGCCTCTACAGCCTCCATCTTCCACACTTCTTCCTCAAGTTCACCCCTCGAGTTGTGTGAGGGCTTATCATGGTTCATTGGTGCTGTAATGAGGAAACACCCAGAAGCCAAGAAGCTTTTTGGACTCCAAACATGTCTTTTGCAGCTCGGCTCAGGTGAGTCCCGCCAGAGCTTGTGTGCAGTCCTTCCTGCATCGCGCGCACGGAGTCCTGATCGCACGGGGCAATGGCCCGGAGAGGTGGAAAGAAGCGAAGCTTGGCGCAGAGAGCGCTGCAGGCAGGTGCCGTTGCAGGTGCGCTTTTCCGGTGCTTTTGGACACGGTGGGTCTCGCTGCGAGATGCCTGCATGTTCTTTTTGGTGTTGGCAGGTGTTCGACGATCCATCAAACTTGTTTTGAGAGCAAGTCAGAAAGTGGACTGCAGATAATTGGCTGAAAACTCCTCTGGATCAGTTGGTGCATTCACAGCCAAGGCGCGAGCACTTCAGAAGGGCTGTGGATGCGCACCCGGCCAACTCCAACGCCCTTTTCCAGCTTGGAATGTGCGCGCTGGAATTGGGGCCATTAGACACAGCCATTGAGCTCATGAACAAAAGCGGCCTGGAGAAGTTAGGAGATTGTCTGAGGCGTTTGTCGCAAACCAGGCTCCCGTTTCAGCAAGAGATGACTGCACAAGATGCAAGTTGGTTGTAAATACTTTTAGGAATAGATTTGATTGTGAATCCCGATTGTTTGTAATTTTCTCTATTGCACAGGCAGTGAACCGCCCCCCTGCCACATCTTTCTCAAGCGACAAACAAAGGTCTTCTCTTGGACTCGGATTTCAGGGCTCCGTATGTGAATCTTGGCTAACAAGAAGCTACTAGTACAAAGGGCATCGCTCCTGGCATTGCTACTAGTAACAAGAAGCTACTAAGTTGCATCTTTGGTGCTGCCCACTTTTGTAGAGCTTCAAAACATATATCGATCTTGGGGTCAACATTGATCAATCGCAGTTCCAAGTGTGCCCAAGAGGCCCAAGAGGTTGATACGCTCTTTGTACACTCCAGACTCTGGCTCAATTCCCTCAAGATCAGGAACCTTGGTGTGGCTTTCCTGAGAAGAGCATCTCACACTGATGATCCGGTCAAAGCACAGGAGAGGGGCTGTCTCACCAGATCTTTTTGTGCCAGCTACTATTGAGTGGGCGATATCTTCTAACTTCTAATGGAAACGCTTCTCCATTGCAACACCCCCAAGCGCCTAAAAAATACATTTAATCTCATTGAATGGACGGCATTTCTCCTTGGCAGCACACCAGCCGCCCAGGAGTTTTATCTCCGCGCTGTTGAGATCTCGGAGTCCTGCTTGACACGCCACCCAGCGTCGCCGCAGTGCAACTATCACATTGGAGCCATGGCAAAAGAATGTGCTGTGATGGACACGGCCAGAGAGTCCAGAGAGAAAGAGATGGAGAGAGAGTTTTGAGGGAACATAGAGCTGTTGATCTGCAGTTCTTGCAAATTATTGGGATAGCGTGATAGTCCCGGTGAAATGGCAGTGTCTTGGCTGAAGGGCCCAGAGCCGCTGTTGCAGGTGTGGCTTGCACCCAGCTTGCATTTTATTTGCAAGACCGCGAGGGGGTTGACTGCAAAGATCCAAAGTTTGTCGAGTTGCGAAGCCGCGCGCAACGTGAATTTTTGGAAGCCAGGCCCGGAGCAACCTGCAGAAGAGTACAATGAGACCTGGGAGTTTGCAGATTTGTGGAACAGTCTGTGGACATGTTGTTAGGGTAGAGGGGTTTCTAGTGGCCTTGCTCCTGGATAAGAGAATTCTGAATTTCAAGCTTGCTGAAGCTTGTCACGAAAGCTAGCGTCAGCTGGCTGGAGTTGCTCTTGCTTTAGCAAGTTTTTGGCTGGTGACTGGCCGGATTTGCTTGCAGCGTAATTTTATCACTGCTAGCCCGGTACGTGTCAATTTCCCTGCAATTGTGCCATGGTCTGGTGTGATTGGAGTTGTATCCAGCTTATCGACTTGATGTACCTCTCTACTTCATGCAACTCACCTTCAACATGTTTTTGTGGTTTCAAAGCTTCATCCTTGTCCTCACGTTCTTTTATTTTCATGCTTCTTCCAATTCATGTTCATCCTCTGACTGACTTCTGACTTAGGTTGCTTCCCATGCTTGACCTCATGGTCTGCTGCTGCCAGTATACTGCTTTGCTGCGCTGCTGATCTGCTGCTGCTGGTTTTCTGTTGGTCTGCAGATGCTGCTGCTGCTGCTGGTCTGTTGCTGTGATGCACCATAAGTTCCACGAAACGAGTGTTGCTGTGCCGGCAAGGACTTTTCTTCGTACTGTTTTCAGCAGTCTTCCATTCAATTCTACGAGTGTATAATTGGCTGTCTTTACTTCTAACATGTGAACTTCTTGCACCTCTTGCAGCCAGCTGTCCATGAAAAAGTCTCCAGGCAACCCGTGCTTACGCCTCGATTTCCTTGTCTTTTTTGGGCGTTTCCAGTACTTTGCTCTTGTATCCCGCAGCCTTACTTAGCCTCCTCTACATCCTTCTTTGGCCTCTTCTCCCTTCCCTCTTTGCCCTGCCTTGTTCACCTGGCCCAGCTTTCATCACCAACCCGTGGCCTCCAGTGTAGCAGGAAGCTTTGAGGGGTTTGGCCAAAGGTACGGCACTACAGTACAGATGGGATTGGATCCGTTGCCTAGCATTGAGGCCAAGACACCGCAGTTTGCAGACACCACATCTTCTGGAGGAAATCGGTCCCAGCACTCACCTGGAACCTAGAAAAGCAACCTCGATGCTTGCGACGTCAGGCGCAGCGCGGAAGCAAGGCGCCGGTTGAGCGTAGCTTGGTAGCAAGGAGAGTTTGGATCAAAGTACTGTTGGGCTCCCTCTCTCCTGCTACTCCAGCACACATGGTGGTAGGGGTTACACTTCACACCCATCGGTAGAGAATCAAGTGGGTGGTCATCGGCTTGCTCGTGAGGAATGGCAGGAGGCGCAAGCGCGAGGCATTGCAAAGAAACAACAAGCTCCGTGGTTATCTGTGGACGACAAGATGCTTCAAGCTGTAGAGGTGCACATGAGCCTCGGTCTCGAAATGGGAGCTCCTGACCTGACCTGCTCACCCCAAGGCCATCTCTTAACCAAGGATACCAAATGTTCTTGGTGAAACACCTACTTTGATCAATCCCTGGCAAGCACATCGCTGTACTGGAATCGCTATGTTGACTTGGGTCCTTAGTAGATGTACAGCTACTCTATGTTGCGAGGCCTAGATAAAGGATTATATACAGCCTGAAAGAAAAGGCTTGGAAGCGCTGTCTAAGTGGAATTGCCATCCAAATTGTTGTGCGAGACTGTGCCTAGTGAAACGCTGCAGACTCCTGCTCAGCATTCGCTTGTAAGGATGCAAGGCCAGACTCTGAAAGCCATCAAGCTCCCTGAATTCATTGGTTGGCGCCTGCTTTTCTGGCGCGTTTAGCTAGCTTCTAGAGGTGGATCGTTTTGTGAATCAAGTCTTTTTGGCGCCTCCGGGCAGATGGTGGCTGAATTTGCTCGCGGACGGTTGCATAAAAACTGCCCACCGTCCGGCATCTTCCCGGCCCGTTGGATTCTCTTGGCTTTCCGAAGCCCCACACGGATGGGCTCCACCGTCGGAGCACCTTTTCGAGGAGCTCTCGTGAGGCGCAAAAGGGCGATGGAAAGGGGTGGAGACCGGAGGCGGGGAGGCTGAACGGCGGAGACCGAAGGGCGATGGAAAGGAGGGTTGATTCATGAAGATGGGTGTGCTCTACCCTTGCATGAAATCCGCGACTGGAGATTCAACTGCCCATTCTCGGCCCATTCTCGTATTTTGGAGGGACATGCAGGCATCTTAAATTAGTTCAGCCTAGCCTTGTGGCTCAAGCCACTGATTGGGTGGCTCGAATGAAGCTGCCCTTCTTGGGCCTTTGGCTCTTGGCCCCTTGGCCAAGCTCTTGGGGATCTCGGGAGTGCTTTGCACTTTTCTCCAACCAACTGCAGTTTGTGGGTTACCTAGTTTGTGGCATTCTCCATTTTCTTTCTGAAGTTCCAAGAGCCGGCTCAGGCATCGAATCGCACCGAGCGCGCGTGGACGGGACAATCGCCCGTTTCTTTTTTATGACACAAAAGGCGATGGGTGATACTTCGTCCTCGACCTCATCCAGTCTTTGGCCATCCTTCTTGAGGGTTTCTCCTCTTTCCGCGGCTTTTTTCCTCCGGAGACCAACGATGTGAGCATCGGTGCACATGGGTGGTTCAGACATCGGTTTTGATCCCGAGACATCGGTGAGGCCATACAGCCTGCAGGTGCCATTCGCCGAGGAGGCAAGAGACGAGCGTCAGTAGCATGTAGAGTTATCATGAGAACCGTTTCATGAAAAACAAAGATCACAAAGTCAACAAAGTATATATGAAAGCTGTGTTTGCCGTCTTTGGTTCTTGCACTTCTGCACTGTTTGCTGTCTCGCTTGCCATGACCGAAGAGGGGAGGTTTCCTGCCACACTGATCCCCTTGAGAGGGTAGCATCGATGTGAGTACCAAGAGTCAAGAGACTTTGGGATTCTGTATACCTTGAGACATGCCCGTACTGTACACCGCTTGCCATGTTGAAAACCAAGCCAGTGATGTGGTTAAGCGGAAAAGGCAAGAGGCATTTACTGAGAGTTAAGTTTTCCTAAAATCTAGGAACCAAATCATTAGTCAAGCGCGAGCTACCCTGCCTCCTCTCCCTCACTTAATTAAGTAGGGAGGGGGGGAGCGGGCTAAAAAATACAATGTATACATATACTATATTTAGTATTAGGAGAAAGGAGCGGGCAAAAAGAAACATTTACTGAGAGTTCCACAGGTGTCTCCTTAAAGATATCCTGCTGAGCACAAAACATCTTGCTGGACTAGATTCGCTGAGTTTCCTTCGGGAGGTGAGTGATGTGTTTGCAATGAAGTGAAGCTCAAGAATCAAGAAGGAATTGCTCCAAGATTCCTGGACAAAACGGATGTTCAGCCTAGGTCTTCTGGTTCCTTGGGGTTTCGGGGACACTTAGTACTTTTCTCCAACTTTGGCATCCGATTTCCAAACACAGCGCCCGGAGGAGCCCGCCATCAAGTTCTTGGTCTTAGCACGAATTTGCATGAGGTTTGCCAGTCTTGCGGAGCTTTGGCTTGAATTTGCAGATGTGTTGATGTGCTCGGCAGGCTGAAAAGCATAACGTTTGAGGCCAGAACCAAACCATTGCGGAAGAGTCACATGAGCAGCCAATCCTTTTTCCAGACACTGTTTTGTATGTCCACTCTACATCGTGTATTTGAGTGGAGTCTTCCCAACAGAGAACGGTGGTCAAAGGAAAAGACGTGCCAGAAAATATCCAGAGACTTTGTATTTGAATCGATGTCTACCCTAGCGTTGCTTCAGGCCCAAAGAATTTTCGGCTTTATTTAGTCTATTTTTATCCAAGCAAGAATGGTTTAGGGCGAAGGCATGAACGAGTTCTTTTATATTTATGTTATATTTTTTTAACAAACCCAACCAGGGACAATGCTCTGATTAATGAGCAACGAGGAGGAGAATGCGTCGCGTGCCTGAGGCGATGCGGGACTGAATACCTTGCAGAAGACTTCAAAGTATTGCGACGAGCTTCAGGGCCAATGTGCGCAGAAGCATGCTTGCAGGGTATTTTCGTGCATTTTGGTGGTTTCATTGTTTTAAGTTTTATGATATGTTGTTCCTTTGTCTATTGTGAGTTCACCATGTTTCACGACTGTTGGTTGGTGAGACCTGTGGCATGAACTCTCAGATGGGATTCCTGCACTCTCCTTTGGTTTGCCTGTTGCTCTCGCGTGTGCCCCCTCTCTCTCCCTCTTCCTCTCCCTCTCCCTCTCGCTCTCACTCTCCCTCTCGCTCTCGCTCTCACTCTTGCTCTCGCTCTCACTTCCTTTTTTCCCCCTTCTCCATCTCTTTCTCGTCAGTTTCAGACACTATGAAATGCTTTAGCATTGTCGCATTGAGACATTTCTGGTCGGGATGTTTCCACAAAGAGGCTGGAGGGAAGAGCAAGTTAAAAGATGTTACACTATTTGATTCTAGTTTCATGCTTGGTTGGGCTGTGATTTTATGTGCAGATGCAACACGGCTCACTGTAGTTTCTCTCATTCTTGAGAGAGCTTCAGTAGCCCTGCCAGGCCAGTGCTGCAAGAATAAGGTGCAAGAAAAGTACAAAGAGAGCCACAGATGAAATGAAGCAGATGTGGCGTGTTCTAATTTTCTGACGTAAAGCATCATAAAGCTGTATCACGACACTTGGTGCAGTTTCGTGGCGCCAAGGATTTGTTCCGGCTTTATGGGTTTTGGAGGCTGTGTGAAGGGCATCAAGGTACGCTCTCAGCGTCTAAGTAGTCAGTCATTCTTGGTTCGTATTCTATGCAAGGCGGCCATAGAAAAGAAGGAGGAGGAATGCAAACAGAAGAGGAAAATGGTCCCTCGGACGTCTCGTGATCAAGAGAGTGTTAGGCACTAGTCAAAGAACATCTAAAGAATCTATCTATAAATATATATATATATATATCCCCTCCAAGACGTTCTGACCTTATTTGCCTTATTTGCCCAATCGCAATCGTTTGAACAATTGAACCTTTGCAGCTACCAGCACCATCCTTCAATTTGATCCCGTCTTTGAACTAGTTGATTTTGGTGGCACCAAGTCTTGCCACCCAGTAAAACATCCAAATGTAAAGCTTGTAAACGGATGTGCATCCCACACAATGCCCCCCGAGGGTCTGACCTCTCATAGAGACCTGGCTTGCACCAAGGCAGACTACCAGCGAGAACGGGAGAAGAAGCAGATCGAAGAAGCTTCAGGGATGGATCTTTTTGACTTCCATGCAATCGAGGCCGTCGCTCCACGCCAAAAGCCATGCGGCCTTGCGATGCCTGCACTCATCTTGCGATTTCAGGCTTTTCGCTCTTTTGCTCTTTTTGCCTCGTCCTGCAGGCGAAGGTGAGAAGCCGAAAAGAGGTGGACACTCCATACCACAACGAGACTTTTGGATGCGATCAGTAGTTGACGACAACTGATGATTACCACCGGCCTTAAACGCGGCATCCGCTGTTTTTCGTCACTGCCACATGCGAATTTGGATGTTTTTGACTGTTTCAGCGCTGGAGCGTTGCAGTGTCCGACACAGTTTGCAACGACTCGACTCCTGCGACGCTTCGCCCAGGTGCGCCAGCTACAACTCGCCGAACTGCAGCAGCCACGCGCTTTGCGCCTTCGAGGGCGGCTGCGATCGGGTGTTGTGGACCATGACCTCGGAGCCATGGCCGCAGAGCGCAGGGAAGATTTGGCAATGCTTACGTTTCCCAAAGCATGTAGGAACCACATCATTAATTGGTGCGAGCGCTTCTTCAAGGAAGCTCCCCCAGCCCTGAGGCGGAGAGCTTCCTTGAAGAAGCGTGAGCTATCCTACATCCAGAAGGTAAGAGCTTAAGTAGCTCGGAGCATACTCCCATACTTAATTAGGCAGGACCACGTGCAAAAAAAGAATCACCAAGCGCAAGGATTCTTGTTTAGGAGGAGAACTCATTGGTTGAAGTCAATGTGAGGGTTCATTGGTTTGAAGCTATCAGTTTGCTCAAGCTCTCGAATTCAAGTTCCTCATGAATTGCAGCACCCACTGGGCTGCAGGGCAGTGGATGCGGGTTGAACCAGTCCCGGTTCCTGGCAGCTCTTTTTTGTGCATTGCGCCGCTGTGCCCAGGACTTGCATGAGGCCTGTCCCTCAGGTGATGTGGTTGTCCGGATCAGTGGAGACACGTTCTTAAGACTGGTTGTATAGGCATCTATGACGGCTTTTCAGGATTTTGACCACTGGAAGGAATGGGGAGAAGTCGTCAAACAGATTATATACAATTGAGGTTCAATGAGCTTCGTGTTTTGCGATATCCCCACTTGACTTGCTGCACTTCCCTTGTTCTTTGTATCGATTGGGAAGGGGGGCGCCTGGCATTCGCTTGGCCGGGTGAGCAATATTCAGCGGCTGGCCGCTGCTCAGGTCGAAGCCTGGCATGGGATGCTTCAGATGCTTCCATGTGTTTGAACAACTGCGGGGAACCCGCGCAGAAAAGTGGAACGACGCACGCAGCATGCGTGACGTATCATCCCTGCTGAAGCCGGCTATATAATAGGGTCCTGCAATTAGGCTTTGCTTGGCTTGATCCAATCCTGTGTGAGGATCGGAACCAAGAACCCAAAACCAGTTGCCGATGTTTTGTTTCCAGGCTATCTCTTATTTTAAATTCTACAGTTCTACATTTTTAGATTCTGACACGGCTACTTGCTATTTATATAAGATATGAAACGCTCTCAGCTGCCCTGAATATCACAGGTCTCCCTTTTTGCTTACTAGGCGGGTGTGCCTAGGAGCCAAAACTGCTCTGAAACCGAACGGCGAACCCCCGAGGTTTTTTCATTTTCCTGTTCCTGTGCCCAATCTCCATGTGCAATGTCAATGACAACAATGTCCCAGCTCCATTTTCGGAGCTGCCCACGTGCTCAATGTGTAATACCAATGACCAAAACTATTAATTAGCTTGATCTTTGGTCATTTGTATTCATTTGTTCTCACTATCGATCAAAGCTGTTTGGCTTTGAATCTTGAAAGGTTGCAGCCTCTTATCACCACGTGCTCATTTTGAGTGACAACATATATATATATATATCCGATATGCAGACTTGGTCTCCCCTCAGCAACTTTACCCTGATCTCAACAAGCTTTTCTATTGCTTCATCTTATGATTGACCCTGTCTATTCTTCCATAAGATGTCCTATATCCTCAGCAAGCTCTTCCTAGTCTAAACAGACTTGGAAAAGCAACTATTTGAGTAGACACATTGCTAATTGAAGAGTTTTATGTATCATAGGCAAGAAACAGTGCAAATAACACAGACTTAACTGCTGTATGAGCTTGGCTGGCATCTTGTTCAGAAGCACGAACCACAACAAGAAAAGCAAAAGAACTATATATATATATATAACTTGTTGCCTTGATATACGTTAATCAAACTTATTGCACCTATGCTTTCCTTTATTTGGATTTTCATGCTCTTAAGAAGTTTATTTTATAAGGTTTTAGAACAGACCATCGACCACAAAAAGCAATCAATCCAAATCAACATCCTACAGTAGCCTCATTTTGTGTGAAGCATTTCTTCTTTTGTTTATATTGTTGTTTTGTTGGTCTTGCCAGCATTTTCGCTAAAACATTGTTTTTTTTTCTCCAGATAGCGAAGCTATGGGGTTCTTACTTCAAATAACAATGAGTTGCCCGTGCGCGCTTTCGAGACAGGTTGCTGGTGCTGGGTGCCGGTGCTGGTGCTGGTGCTGTGAGCTGGCTGAGCACGTGGTGGAGACAGGTTGCTGGTGCCGGTGCTGGTGCTGGGTGCCGGGTGCCCGTGCTGGTGCTGATGCTGGTGCTGTGAGCTGGCCGTGCACGCGGTGGAGACAGGTTGCTGGTGCCAAGGCTGGTGCCAAGGCTGGTGCTGGGTGCCGGTGCTGGTGCTGGTGCCGGTGCTGGTGCTGTGAGCTGGCTGCGCACGTGGTGGAGACTTGCTGGTGCTGGTGCCAGGTGCCGGTGCTGGTGCTGGGTGCCGGGTGCCGGTGCTGGTGCTGGTGCTGTGAGTTGGCTGTGCACGTGGTGGGGACAGGTTGCTGGTGCTGGTGCATGGGCGAGTGAAGCCTACGGGTTTTGCCGCTTGCGCGCGTACTTTTGTGCGCATAATCTTATACGCGCAAGATCATACGGCCTTATGGTTCTGCAGATCGTTGCTTCAAGCATGCTACAAAGTCAATAGTGGCGCTGGATACTGCTTGGCCTTGGGCCAATGACACTTACAGGCTTTGCTGTTTGCCCGCGTGCTTTCGTGCGCATAAACTTTTACGCGCAAGATCATACGTTGTTATTCCCCAAATAGGGATAGCTATGGGCTATGGGGTTCTTGCTGCAAATAAGAATGAGCTGGCTGCGCATGCTTTCGAAAGGGTGTTGGTGCTGGTGCTGGTGTTGTGGTACTAGGTGCTGGTGCTGTGAGCTGGCTGAGCGCGCGTTGAAGACGGGCAGCGGCGCTGGCGCCGCTGCCGGTGTTGTCAGCTGGCAAAGGGCACCGGTGCTGGTGTCAGCTGATTGTGCGCGCTGTGGAGGTGGCGTAAGCTGGCTGTGCAGGCTGAGTACATTCTTTGTCCAACCAGTCGCAGTGGTTGGTGTCAAGACTTGTGCACTGCCCTCCAGGCGGCGATGGGTGTGTTTTGTCAACAGGTCGTGGGATTCTGCCTAGCTATCTGGGTCTATGCTGGTGCAATTTTGTTTATTGGTTCCTTCTTTTGCATTTTACTCTCAATCTTTGGGCCTGGTCTGATCAAAAGCTATACCTACGTTTTGGTGATGTTTGCCCC